ATTAATCGCTTCATTGCACACAGAAAGGTTGTCTGATTTGGGAATGATCATTTATAGATGATTCAAGATTTGCATTCCTACATATTTTAGATTATAGCAACGCTTTCAAGAAGTTGATTTATTAAAATATCTAAGCGTTTTTAATTTTTTTCATCATGAACAGCCCGTTATTTTAAAAATATACAAAATCTCTCCCCTGGTTTTGAGGACCGTTATACTAACCTGTAAGAGCTCGTGTTGATTTTAAGTCTTTAAGTATCTTTGGAAACAGGATTCCRTAAGTCGAAGCACAACCGTAGGTGAAAAGGGACGACATYAGCAGTAGAACACTCATGATCCAAGACCAAGGGCCGTCAATTCGCCTAAAGCCGGTTTCTTCATAAGGCCGGTCGCCTTGGGCTTGTACTAGGTTATCAAAGATCTCTGAAGATCTTGATGAAATATTCTCTTTGATGTCATCAATGGCCATTTTAAACTGAGTTATTAGTTTTGACGACCCATAGTGATCGATCTATCAACAAGTTGTGGAAAAGGGCAGGTATAATAAAAAAATTCCTGTTGTGTTGAAAAGCATATAGTGAACCTCCAACCAAAACATCGGCGATTAGCTCTAAACAAAGAGCTAGTAGAATTCTTGAGTGATAGATGTCATCGAAAATAAACACTTTGGAGATGAATTGGGATTCCGCTGATCAAACACTTCTAGCAAAAGTTGCAACGACGCCATTTATAATGATAGTGCACTTCCTTTCGAGGTTTTGTTTATGTTTAAAAATAAAAATACATCGTAATATATACAAAAACTTTCTCTTGATCATTGTCCCTTTATGGTCTATGAATGGAGATATTGTAAGATTTGACCTTAAAACCGACGGATGGAAACGGATTGCGAATGGTTTGAAGTCACCTCATTTTCCATATATGTAAACTCTAAACCGTGACAGCATTGGATACTGGTGGACCATGACCTGATTCCTAAATCTTCTTTTAATTATCTTTAAAAGTCTCTCCAAAAGTTTTTTTTTACACTGGAAATAAACCTCAGACTTTTACATACTGTGTAAATCATGTGTAAATTGTTTGTAAACAGACTGTAAAATTGATTTTACAGGACCAAGGTACTTTTACATACTATGTAAATTTCAAAAGACTTTGTAAATCATTTGCAAATTATTCCTCTTACTTAAAGTGGATTTTTTTGTAAATAAATTGTTTGTAAAATACAATTTCCTAAATATTTCCATAGTATGTAAAAGACTGAGAGTTTCCAGTGTTACTTTTTGACCTTTTGGTTAGACAATTGATTAAATATTTCAATACCAACTATGGAAAACTTTTCTCAATGTCAAAATTGTAGAACAAAATTGTAGAACAAAACTTGAATATTCGTGGTTATGAAGTAAAATGCAAAAAAGATTTTACAACATGCGCCGCAAAAGCACAAAATATCTTATCTATTCATTTACAACAATTGGAGTGATTCAAGTCACGGCGCCTCCATTCCCTGCTTTTAATTGAGAATCCCGCCAAATTTGAAATTTCGCAACTTGAGTGGTCAGAAATATATCCCTGGATCTACCTCGAACATAGAAACCCACCTTGAACTGCGCTGTTCAGAGCTTCGGCAAAATCAATATCTAAAACTAATGAGCATTTGGACGCCCTTTGTGTGAAGATATATACCGGAAATACAGTGCTCTTCCTATATGTTCCCAAAATATTTCTGAGAAACTTCCCCTGTTCAATACCCCAAACTGTTGTCTTGATTCAGCGATTGTGTCAGGTGAATGATGACCTTAAAAACGATATGCAAAATGTCGTTGAAAGCAGTTCCATGCATTTCCATGCTTTAATTCGTCGCTCTTTGNTAAATATTCCTTATCAATCTAAAGTACGGTTTCTTTCTCAACTACTACAAGTTGTGTATCCAAAGTGCCATCCAAAATAACTTCTCTATTTGATGATGGAATACAACGAGACAAAATATATAGACATCCAGCAAAGACTTCTAGCGAGCCAGCAGTGTAGAAGGCATTGTTGTATGATCCACTTACGTCTGCTATAAAACCTAAATATAACATTGATAAAGGTAAACTAAGTCTCTGTTTGCATGGCAATGGAATCCTGTAATTTTGTTACCCAGATGAAAAACGAAGCACTGAACCCAGAACAGAGCTAAGAAATACCCACATGCACCCAAGAACCTTTGCGCGATTTTTGTCCGTCTTCGGAATTGAACCAATTCAAGGTTCGTGCTATTCAAGGGCTTTTCAAGCGCACTTGAAAAAGAGTGTTCAATTTCAGGACTTTTTAAGGCGGATTTCCATGAGKAGCACGAACCCCGAATATGCGAATGAACCTTAACAAGTGTATCCATCATTGCAAAATCGTCTGTTCTCACGCTTTGACATGGACCGCGGAGCAGGGGGGGCTAGGGGGCTACAGTCCCCCCAATAATTTTTCCGACATTTTGAATTTTCTTAAATAAGGAAGCGAAGAGCGATCTTATGAAATTTCACCATATATATTCCATAAAAAATTGTGTAAAAACTGACCGTTTGTGCGGTAAAAATGTCTTTGATAACTCGCCGCTAGCCCTCCCAAACAAATTCACGCTCCGCGGTCCCTGTTTGATGCCAAGGTTTGGATACCTTTCAAGCTGACACAGGGAACTGTAGACTGAAGCATTGGATTAAAGCTTGATAAACCTACCTGATAAAATAGGTCCAATGATATACGCCAAGCAAACGCACATCTGGAAAAGACCATAACCACTCCCTCGTTTATCAGCTGGTACACTCTCAATTGCAATATTGATCGTCGGCGTGTATACTAACCCCTCCCCTACACCGTAGACAGTAGAATACAGCACCAACGCATAGTACACCGATGTAGAAGGTAGAACAAAATTCCCCAAAGCGAGAATCACACTTCCAAGAAGAAATATATCTAGAAGAGGAAGTGGACCGACTTTTCCAAATTTTCCAACAAGAAGTCTAGATGCCGTAGAGCTGAATCCAATGATGAAGTACAGCCAGGATGATCGATAGCTATCAATACCAATATCTTCAGAGAATTTAGCCTTAGGAAAAGCAACAA